GAGCAGGTTTTGGATACATGTGGGTGGGATTTCCTACCAGTCTGCCAAGCCCCTGGGTGGGCTGGGGGTTCCCTGCCCCTGGGTCTTGGTATCCACCACCATAGCAGGAGAATTTTTTTTTTAAATGCAGCCTTGTGTACTTACTAGAAGTGACAAAAGGTAATTCTAGGAACTGCTGGAAACCCTATGGTTTTACTCTTTGGTATTACCATAGAGTTTCTGGCAATTCCTAGAGCTACCATTTGTCACTTCCAGTAAGTACACACGGCTACATTAAAAAAAAATTCTCCAGTGATGCTTCACCTCCCAACCCTCCCGCTAGTTGCAGTCATATTTCCTACTCCCCTGGTTGCCATTCCCCCACATCACTGTTAGGGTTTTTTTTGCTGCTTTTTAAAAAATCCGTCAGTATTACCAAAAAATACATGTATAAAAACAGCAAAAGGACTGCCAGCGGTGTTGATGGGGAAGTGGCAGGAGTGAGGAGAAAGCGTAGAAAGCTCTGCCTGGAGCTACAAGCATTCCCAGGAGCAGTGAAAGCAAAATGGGGAATTGTCCCCGTGGGAAAACTAAGGGTCTCCCTGTCACAGAAGAGAAAGTGATTTAAGGAATGCAACTGGAGCCACTAGTGGTAGTATTTGTTTCTTGGGGGGGGGGTGCATAGCATACATGAATGAGTGAGAGAAAAGAAGGAGCCCTCAAGAATCAAAGTCCAGCAAATCCACGCTTACCAAGCCTCGGAGAGGTAATAGTATTGACGTTTATCTTCTCATTGCAGGCCTCCTGGTGACACTGTCGGTAGGCCGCAGGCTTGGAGAGGACGGGACACTCGTTCCCATGGCGACCCGTGACCTTGTGCATGCACTGCACGACCCGCGATTGAAGGCCTTTCCCACAAGTCGAGGAGCACTGCAGAAGAGAAAACCGTTTTTTCATCAGTGGTCCGGGACAAGGATGTGTGTGAGGGTGACATCATAAAACCAGCAGAAGTCCCCTTAAGCCTCAGTGACTCAGAGGTGAAGAGCTCATGTGGGTAGCCATTTTGCCACAGACCAGGGCTATTTTTTGGGCAGGAACGCACAGGAACGGAGTTCCGGCTGGCTCCCGAGTTAACCACACCCAGCAGGAACTCATTAGCATTAGGCCACACCCAACAGTAGAAACTCATTAGGATTGGCTACATTAGGGGTGTGTGGCCTAACATGCAAAGGAGTTCCTGCTCCAAAAAAAAGGCCCTGGGTTTGGACAACAGACAAGGTCAACAGAATAAGAAGCAAAAGGTGGGTGTGGCTGGATGACCACACTTCTGGTAGCACGGGGGTGTGGCCTAATATGCTAATGAGCGGTGCTGTCATGGGTGTGGCTTAATATGCTAATGCGTTCCTACTGGGCTTTTTCTACAAAAAGAGCCCTGCCACAGACACAATCCTGTTGTGTGGGAAAAGCTGCCTCTTTGCTTGGTAGGGAAATGTAGCTCCCATGGAATAAGAAGTACTGGAGTCAGTCTGGCCCTCGTTTTGGGCTCTAACTAGGTAAACGCTGCTGCCTCAGAGATTGGGATGAGAACCTGCCAGCCTAGCCTGTTGAAGCAGTTCCGAGGGAAAAGGTTTTCTGTCCATTTTTGATCACAGGATGCACGTATCTCGGCACACAATGGCAAATTCCTTCAGTTAACTTTGCTCTCACTTGGGAGGAAGGCCCAAGCGGCTTATCCTTTCCCCTTGTTGCTATAAAAAAACCCAGATGCCCTTTTGGTTGTGGTTCCCCTTCCTCTCTCTCGTGCCTGATCTACAGGGGGCCAACTCACATGCTTCCCCCTTTCAAGGAGGCAAATGCAAAACTCTGACTGCACTGTTCCTGGCAGCTGGAGTCCATAAAACAGCTTTGTATTTTCAAATGAAGAAACGACGGATTTGTGAGGCATTGGCCAGATTACTAGTTGAGCTCATGCCACACACACAAAACAGGAAGGTTTTCTTTAACGACATCAGAGATGCTCTTGGGAAGATTCTACATCTATGCTGATTCTTCCTTTCCTCTCAGGGAACCCCCAGCAGAACGGTATAATCCCTGACTAAACTTACTATTTTAGTCAGGGTTTTTTTTCAGGGGGGTTCACTTTTTTTTTTTTTAAAGAGGGTTGGATGGATGAGTGGGCACAGCTAGGTGGAGCGGTGGCACAGTGGGTATATCCCACTGTCTTAACATCCGAATTGTGTTAGTTCGAGCCCCGCACTGGTGTGAGCAGCCAGCCTATTGTCCCCAGCTCATCATCCATCCAGCGATTCGAAAGCTCCGGCGAATAGATAAAATGGGAACCACTCCTTAGAGAGGGTGGGTATACCAATCTCCCTTGTGGGAGGGTGTTAGCTGACGGTCGGGACTTCCTGGTTGAGGTTGGAAAAAGGTGAAAGAACTTCTCGGATACAAAAATCCCTGCAGTGGATGTTTCTGGCCAGGCGGTGGCAGTGTGGCGATTGACATACGGGTCCTGAAGCCTGGTCTACAAAGCAGCCGTTCGGAAAATGACTGAGCCAAGCCAGAAGACGTTTACACCGTGCAGTGACAGCGTGTGCAATTAAATGAATATATGTTGCCTTCCCTATACCCTATAAACATTGTTAGCCCCCTGTCTATAATGTGTAACTGTAAATCGCTTTGAGCCCACTGGGGAAAGCGATTAATAAATTGAAAGTATAAATTGAAAGTATATATAGGTGTTCCTCACCTTCAGGGAAATTTTTGATGCCCAGAGCCCTCGTCTGAGGAGGAGAAAGTGGTCTTCTCACGACTAAGGGCAGAAGCCACTGGGGCAGCTCACGGAGTGTTTGAAGTAACACACATGAAGCTGCCTAATACTGAATTAGACCAATGGTCCATCGAGGTCAGCTTTATCTACTCAGACTGGCAGCAACTCTTCAGGCTCTCCGGTGGAGGTCTTTCGCCTCATCTGGTCCTTTTAACTGGAGAGGCTAGGGATCAAATCTGGGACCTTCTGCATGCAAAGGCTCTTCCACCGAGCCACAGTCCCTCCCGAGGGTGTAGCTTGGACAGAAACTACACAGGAAATCAGAGACAGGCGCTCTGGTCAGCCTGTTCTTTTTCTGAACTTGCCCAACACATTTCTGCAGCATGAATCACAATGTACAGGTCCCTTCAGATGCATCAACCTGATAGAGTCACTCTAGGATCCACTGTGAGAGGTGGTGGGGAAATGTTATTTGAAATTTTACACCGTACCCTTTCCAACATTCAGGATGGCTTAGAGCCAGGCAAACAGACATTAAAACAACAGCAGTGTCAAACATAACTGAAGACCCTAAAAGCCCCTCCCAAATCAACACCAGTTTTCAGGCACTGTGCATGAACTGCACGGGTGGTTTTCCCATCGTTCGTCCAGTAGGCTGTTCTGCCGAGTGAAAATCCACCAGCCCTGACTGGTGCCATGTGGCCCAGTCAAAGAGACGGCACCCTCCAGAGGGATTTGCTGAGAAATGCAACTCCCTTCTCACAGCATTTTAAATTTTCTCTTAGTCATTCCCCTGCCCCAAACAAAGGGACACTGGGTTGGCTCCAGCCAGCCTTTTTTTGTTCCATCTTTGACCAAGTCCTCTCTTCATTACGGACTCTCTCCCACCTGGGTTTTGACTATTGCAGGTCCGATGATCAGTGTTCCCTCTAAGATGAGTTAGTGTGAGCTAGCTCACAGTTTCTTAGCCTCCGGCTCACACATTTTTGTCTTAGCTCAGGAAGGATGGCTCCAGAGCAAACTAATTCATGCAGCAGCCAAATCGCTCGCTCACAACTTTAATGCCAGGAGCTCATCAAGTAGAATTTTTGCTCACAGGACTCCACAGCTTAGAAGGAGCCTTGCCCGTGATCCCCAGCACAGCTTTTTCTGTGGTCCCCCTTTTAGCCAGCAGAAAAGCTGGCTTGTCTCCAACCCTCTGTTACGTGCCTCTTCTTGCCTGTTGCTTTGAACATCCCTTCTGGTCTTGTACATGGTTGGTTCCACCCGCCTGTTTTGTTTCTAACCTAATACCGGCATGCACCCTACGGTTGCTGTTTTTGATCTCTCTGCATGCTGTACATCGTTCCTTAATCTGCAGCTTGGAAGTCCAACGTTATTAAACTTAACCATATCCTCATACCTGCGGTGATATCCAGATAACTCCAAGTGGGTGGTCTTTTCAAGACACGAGCAGAAAAACTCAGCCCTCAGCAAAGCTCTGCGCTTTGTTGTCCTGTAGCAATTTCCACTCCCAAAACCACTTGACAGACATCTAGATGCGTCCACACCGTCCTCTTCCTCTGGCAAATTACGCAGAATATGGCTCCCTGTTGGCTGGCTAGCACAACCGAGTCCCAATTGTGCCCAAATCCAGAAGGGAAAAAAAGTCTAATGTAGGATACGAACTTGATTCTTTAGCTTTACCAGCTTGCAAAATTTTGCCACACTTGTGGAGATGTTTCTACAGCAAAGGGGGATGGTCCTTTTCATGTGGATGGACACACAGACAGATAGATGGATAGACAGACCGTCATTTGAACTGCAAAGGTTACCTGCCTGTGTGCCCTGACCAGGATAGCCCGGGCTACCTTGATCTTGTCAGACTTTGGAAGCTTAGTGGGGTCAGCCCTGGTTAGTACTCGGATGGGAGACCACCAAGGATGTCCAGGGTTGCTAAAAAGAGGTAGGCAAGGGCAAACCACCCCTGTTTGCCTCTTGCCTTGAAAACCCCCATGAGGGGTTGTGTCAGCTATGCTGCCACGGGGGTTGGGGAGATCTGTTGACTACTAATTGCCGCTGCATTCTTTCTGCGCTTCTTAGCTGCTGTAATGCTTATCTCTAAGTTGTGCAGGTGGTGTGATGTCTAGCTTCAGTGGAACCGTGGGAGAGAGGTTGGTTCCCAGCTTCAGTGCTAATGGCCTGAGCACCTTCTCCCGCGCACGGGAGTGTGGCTAATTGGCCAGGGCAGTGGGTGTGTGTGCATACGAATACCCTATATCCTATTATGCCTGATGGGCAGCCGCCATTCTTAACAGTGCCTATGTTAATGCATCTATAGCTCTCCAATAAAGTATTACCTTTTCTGAGAAGTGTGTACTACGTTGTTGGCTGTGGGTTCTGACAGGTTGCCATAAAATAGCTGAGATTTGCCACCACTTTCCACCACCTCTGTGCATGCCCAGGTCTCGGCATCTGTTAACCCACGAACTGGCCAAAAATCAAGTCCCCCCCCCCCAACCACCACCCTGCCAACTCTCTTTCTTAACACATGAAGAATCACCAAGTAGGCCCTTTCGCCCCTTGCCCAGCTTTGAGTGTAATTTGATTGCTTCTCCTGGGAAACCAAGAGCATCGCCTAGGCTATGCAATCGGCCTTTTCAGTGCCAGGAAGACAGACTTTAACGTCTATCTAGAACTGCCTTGGTCTGGCAGCTAGAGGGACATCTGGCTTATTTTAGAGGGAAAACGTTTCAGCTCTCTGGGAGAGGAGGACGGATACAGAAAAGCGTACAAAAGGAGAGCTCTGGCGGATCCAGCACTGTCATAGGGAGCAGAGGGAATCGAGGGTGGGGGAATATCAGACTTGGATCACATTCAATCTTAAACTCATTTGCTGGGAATCGAGGCCTTGCAGGTTTCAGATGAAAGAGAATCTCCAACTTCTCTTTGCAAGGTGAAACTGACCCTGGACTGCACCACTTCACACGGCAGGGGAAGATAGGAGAGCACCTTCCCCCAATTCAAGCTCGTCACCCGCTCTCCCATTGCAAGGAGGGGAGTGCATACTTTCCACGCTGACGGTGGCAGACCAGAATCTGTTGGGTGGCCACGCTGGCCTGAAACAGCAGAACGAAGTTTGAGTCCAGTGTGGCACCTTTAAGACCAGCAAAGTTTTATT